ATTTCGTTTTAGCTTTTCTCTTTTTTTTTTTTTTATTTACTAGACTGGGTCGGGTTGACTCAATCCAGAAACATAAGCCCATTAACCCAAATGGGAAAAAACAGATCAAACGCAAAATAAAGAAACTTACAATTAGGGTTCATGCTCGTTCTAAAAAAATTTCATCACAAGAATAAACACATTTCACAGAAAAGAAGAAAAGAAAAGAAAAACACTTTCATCAAATAGAAAAATCTACAAGAAATTTTTTTTTTATTCATTCTCCAGTAAAACACATACAACTTAACATCAGATAAAGAAAGAGAGAAAAAAATGCAGAAAAACATCAACCAAAAATAAGGAAAACACCCACGGCAGAGTTCTTTTTAGCTAAATCATTCCTTGATTTTTCATTCATTTCCAGCAAACATACACAAATCTAACATCAAAACCTAAAGAAAGAGACTTCAACAACAAATCACAAAAGAAATAAAATGGCAGTTTCTTAAAGGGAAAGAAACAGGTCTGGATTTGATGGGAGGAATCCCACCCACGGGATCAGGCTCCCACCATTTCCTTCACCATTTCCCTAAAAGAATCCTCCGTTTCAGAGATTTTTACCTAATGCAAAAACCCAGAAATGTGCGTTCTTCTTCTACCGTGGCCTCCAAAGAAAACCCTCTTTTTTTCGTCGTTGGCAACACCGAACTCAACCAAAAGAGCCTCAGAATCAACCAAAAAAAAAATCCCCCCAAAATAAAATAGCCAAAATCCACCCAAAGACCTCTGCCTTTTGCTCTATATATACACCCAAAATGATAACAATAAAAAATGAAATAAAAAAAAGGGGGCCTTGCTCTGTCAATCACCAATGATGCCAATTTTGTCTGGCATTGTTGTTCTTTTTTTGTAGATGGGGCAGGGGCATGGCTGTAGGCTCAGTGCAGCAGAGGTGGAGATTGGGGCTAGGCTCGGTGCAGCAGCAGGGGGCACAGAGGGGTGCGGATCGGGCTGCAGCAGAGGGGTGTAGGGGGGGTATGATGGCTGACTATGGCTTGGGCGTGCAGGGGCATGATTGCCGGCAGTGGGATGCAGAGTGCAGGCGATTCGGGGGCAGAAGGGGGCAGGGGATTTGGTGCAGTAGAGGGGCGTAGGGGGGATATGATGGCTCGGGCGTGCAGGGCATGATTGCCGGTGATGGCTAGTGCAGAGTGCAGATGATTCGAGCGTAGAAAGGGCAGGGGATCTGGTGCAGAAGGCACGAGATTGGGGCCAAGCTCGGTGCAGGCACAAGGCTCGAGTGCAAGGCAAGGGATCTGGGGCAAAGCAGGGGCGTTGGTTCGGGCGAGGCCGGGCGCAGGAGCAGGTGCAGAGCAAGGCTGGTGCAGAGGGGTAGGGCACGGGGCTTGGGGCCCAGGGAGAAGGCCAGGGTGTGTGGGGAAGAAGAAGTTTCTGGAGAGCAAAAGATTTAACCCTTTTTTATTTTATTTTATATATATTTTTTAATTTGATTAAATTTTTTTTTATTGGGTTTTGGGTTTGGGTTTTGGGATTTTGGGCTTGGGTAGTTGTAATCTTTGGGTTTTGGGTAATTGGATTTGAGTTTGGGTTTTGGAGTGGGCTTTGGCTTTTTTGGGTTTTTGATTTTTGACTTCAATGCATTTTACCCTTCAACTTTTCATCTCTTCAATTAAGGCCCTTCTTTCTTCTTCTCCCACTTTTTCGCGACATTTCCTTTTTGCTTGCCAACCTAACAATGAAAGTAAAAATCGAACATATTAATGAAGATAAAACTAAAATAAAAATAAAATTTTAAAAATTTTGAATTATTACAGTTGCCTCTCTTTTCTTTATTTCTGTTAAGAATGAAAGGAAAAGATAAAAATAACTCAAAATTTTCTTTAATGTTTTTTTTTTTTTTTTTAAACTATTGAGTAACTAATCAAGTAAAGATAACCGAACGAATTCAATAAAAATGGTTAAGAAATCACAACAATCGGATTAACCGAATGAATGAGATAAAATGATTAGAAAATCACGATGATCGGATTGACTAAATGAATGAGGTAAACGGCTATAATACCACAACGATCAGATTAGCCGAACGAATGAGATAGAACAGTTAAGAAATTGCAACGATTGGATTAACCGAACGAATGAGATAAAACGGTTAAGAAACCGCAATTATCGAATTGACCGAATGAATGAGATAAATAGTTAAAAAGACTACAATGATCGGATTGACCGAACAAATGAGATAAAATGATTAGAAAACCACAACAATCAGATTCACCGAATGAATGAGATAAAACGGTTAAGAAACCGCAACTATCAAATTGACCGAACGAATGAGATAAAATGGTTAGAAAATCGCAACAATCGAATTAACCGAACGAATGAGATAAAATGGCTAAAAAGCCACAACGATCAAATTGACGGAACGAATGAGATTAAACGATTAAGAAACCGTAACGATCAGATTGATCAAACAAATGAGATTAAACGGTTAGAAAACCGCAACGAT